TGTCCGACGTAACCTATCAGGTCCGGTTGAGAAGGAGGGCGCAGGTGGTTGTCCTCCACCGGGACCGTCTCGCTCCTTACCAACCATTGGTTCCGACGACGGAGACTGGGGGAGGGGAGCAGGTTGTGAGCGAGCCCCAGTCCCCTGTCCCTCCAACTCCGTCTGAGCTTGCCACTGGGTCCATTTCTCCCTGGTGGCGAAAAACCCGACGAACGCTACAGTATTTTATACTTTTAAAGACTATTGACCAGCTTTGGTGCCTCCTTTAAAATGCACATGTGGTGAGCCAATTTTTGCCCATTTATGAATGGCATTTATGAAAAGTTTTTTATACCTTTAAACATTAACAAAATCAGTTAAATCAGTTTTTTATACCTTTTCTTTAAAATTTACAAGTCTATTTCTGTCTGGTTTTTCGCGATAAGTTGCCTGAACGCCTAAGTTAGTGTGTTATGGGGCTTGGACACACATCACGGTCCTGTACTTTCACAGACCTGAAGTTAAACTCTAAAGCCCTGATAACAAAATACAACTAAATACGTCTTTTAAGTTATTTACTCGTTTTGATTAGCCATCCGTTGGTGAAATTAGCTAAATGTTGCTAAACAGTCGGGAGTTGTGGTGTGAGTCTGACTTTTATTTAAATTAGAAATAGTGTTAATGTGCATTTTGTCTTAATGTGCCTGCTGTCAGGATGGGCGCGTTCTTCTCGCAATCCATGGGTACCGCTGTTTTTGATATTACGGCAAATGTTTAATATCTTGGGGACGACAGCGCTTGGCTGTTCGACGCCACCTTATGTTAAAGCATATGAATTCACCACTAAAACTTATTGTTTAGGCTGTTCACATTGCGACAGTGCGGCATGCTGGGACATATGCAAATAGGCCAGACCACGCTTTGCTCTTCGGTGCCACCTTATGGTAAAACACACAAGTTCGGCCCTCGCTTGACTCTACGGCGCCGCCTTGTGTTGAAACATATGGGTTCAGACCTCACTTGACTCTTCAGCGCCGCCTTGTGTTAGAACACAGGGGTTCAGCCCTGTGTTTGACTCTTCGGCGCTGCCTTTTGTTAGAACACGGGTTCAACCCTGCGCTTGACTCTTCGGCGCCGCCTTGTGTTAGAACACAGTGGTTCAGCCCGCGCTTGACTCTTCGGCGCCGCCTTGTGTTAGAACACAGGGGTTCAGCCCTAAAACTTATTGTCTAGGCTTTCACAATACCCCCGTAGGGCATACTGGGACATATGCAAATAGCCACCCCGCTTCTGGGCAAATGCCATATGCTCATTTTAACAAGGATTACCAGTGTTATTCATTGATTCTTTTTGTCTAAAATGTTTAGGGCGTTTTACTTTATTATTCACATTGGTAGAAAAGTGCTTCAATACTTTAAAAAACTTTATGGTTTATTTGAAATAACTGGGCGCTCCATTTGTTGCTGCAATTTTGAAATGGGGTGTCTTACGAATCATTATTCTTTGTTTGATGCCCCGGTTTCGGGTAAACATCCGCGACGGTTTATGACTACACCATATGGCCAAAGTGGCCTGGGAACGGATGATCACCCTGATAACAAAATACAACTAAATACATCTTTCTGTCAGCATGTGGGGGTGTCGCAGTTTATGACATTCTGGCAAAATGGGGGCTATAGCTTGGGGAACCAGTCTCAAAGCCTGTAACCTGTTTGATTCCACCCCATGTTTCCTCCGGCAGGTGCGAACTTCCGTGCATGTCCGCTGTGATATGCTTAACAGGCATGTTTGATGGCATTATTCTAACATAGTATGTTGCTAAATACCGCTCACTAGTTCCTACAGCTATTAAATGCATTTAAATAAAATCAGGGCATCTTGTTTAAAATAAAACTAACAAAATACAAGTAAATACATCTTTTGTAAGTTATAATGTTTTACTCATTTGATTAACCTAATGTAGATGACTTTAGCTAAATGTCGATAAACAACCCGAGGTGTGGTGTTAGAGATTGACTTTTATTAAATTAGAAATATGTTATTTTATACTATTTACAAATAAGTCAGATTAACAAATAGAGTTAATGCGCATTCTGTCAGGATTGCGTTGTGCTTTCACAATTAAGGGCCATGGCTAGCCTCACGATAACAATTTCCGCCGGTCGCCATTTGAACGTGTGTCTGCGTGAGCACGCCCCCTTCCCCCCACCGTTGCTCATTTGACGCGCTACTTTTGAACGGAGCGGTCGCACATGGCCGAGCTGCGGGGATAATGGCAGCCTAGACCACCAGGTTTGTGCTACACTGACGGAACCCAGAGCCGCTATCGATGGATCTTCGAGTTTGGTGAAATGCTTTTTCTGTTTTATATTGAAATAAACTGTTAAACTGATTACGGCTTTTTCTCATTTTTAAAAACTTGTGGTAAAATAGTTGTGCTTGTTTCGCATTTGCTCTTGTTTCGTTCGGGCACGTTTGTACTTAACTTTTAAAAGTTAAAGTTTGGGGCTTGTGTCATTTGCTTGAAATACGCAGTATTTAAATTGTTTAAAAGGTTAAAAGTTAGGGTCTTGTGTCGTTTGTGCTTAAAATACGGTGAAATATAAGGTGTTTAAGTGGTTTCTCGTTTTTAAAACTTGGCTAAAATATTTGTGCTTGTTTTGCATTTGCTCTTGTTTCGTTCGGGTATGTTTATACTTATATAATTCCACCTGCTTTTCTTTTCCTTTTAAAAAGTAACACTAAAGTTTTTCTTGCTTAAAACATTTTGGTGCTTTCTCCTTTTAAAATATGCCGGGGCGCTCGTGTCTACTGTGGACGGACGGAACCCCGCAGCACATGTATGCGCTAGCTCACGTTCATCCGGCTATACGCTTTATTATTCCTTAAAACGTAATTAAAAATAACACATTAATAAAATACATGTAATGTATTTTTAGTCTATTTAAGTTTAACGGCAACCATTAACACCCCCAAACCATATGTCCCCCTATCGGCAACACGTGGCATAAGCATGTATGATACCATTTGGCCAAAACCCCCTCGACCAATCATAACAAAGGATACGCCCACCTCCCGCTTATGACGTCATAGATGGGGGAAAGCTTTAAGCTCCGCCCAATGTACCACCTAACCTCTATCTAATTTTTTACATCACAAAACCTGGTGCTTCAACAGGGGGTGTATACTTTCTACAGGCACTGTATGTGGCATCACAAAACAAGAGATTATACTGCATTCTTTTGCTGCAAGGAAGTTTGTTTGTTGATTAATGACAAAGTACCAACTTCTAAAGGCTGGCAGAGACTGCTTTTGGATTTAGTTCCATTACAGTACCTTACATGAACAGTATATTACATTCAAAAACAGACCAACTGTATAATGTCTGGGAACCCCATCTGCGCTGTCTAGAGCCCGGTGTCTCTGCCATCTTACTGTTCTTATTGCACATCACCATTGTTGTACGTATCAATCTGTGCTGCTAGCACTAGTGCGCCTCTTCTTCCCTGTAAATGCCCTCTGTAACCGAGTTCAAACTCTTAACACAGCCTCAAAATACTTGTTTTTCAATTAATATGTTTTGCTTATATTTGTCAAGCAGCATTTATACCAAAGTTGGCTCCTCAACAACTATACGTCTTATACGCCTCACAAAGGCCTTTAAAAAGAAAATGTAAATAAATCCTATTGTTAAATAGATGCTATTCCTACTTCTACCACTAAATGTCAGGAAAGTTTCAATGTTTACCAATGCACTTTTTTTTTAAACACAAATACATACTGCAGCCCAATACTAAATACAAGATGTAGTCCTGAAACAATGTTGGAAGTTGAAAAAAAAGAAACATTGATATTTTTATTTAATGACACCAAAACATCCATAATATAAAAAGCATAATATAAAGAAGTTAAGATAATTAGAGTATCTCTAAATGGCCGAAGTGTGTGTAGACTAGTCTCTTAGGTGCACTGTGATGGAGTGGCATCCCACACAGTCTGTAAGGCAGTCTTGTAGTCCCTGATGCCCGATAGGCTTCAGGCCCTCTGGCAACCCTGAACAGGTTAAGTGGTTATAGATAATTTCATTTAACTGGAATGTTACAAGGATAAGGTCAGAATATCAATGTTTTTCCCAACCAATGCTGAAGCAGTTAAGCAGCAATATTGATGGACCTAATGAACAACTGCTTTTTTCTTCTACATAAAACATAGAGACATTATGAATTAGTAAAGCAATGAATAATCACTATTTTATAATGAAAATGACATAAATTTCAAGGTATTACATTTTTACCATTAACTCTGACTCAACAGGAATTTTTCACATGATTAAACCTTATTTTGAAACAGTCATATTGACATCAGAGGGAATTGCAAAATGAAAGGTGAAAAATTAAAATGTACTTTTTTTAAGGATTGCTTTGTATTCCAGAAATGTATTGTGCAGGTTGAATGTGAAAGTGATAAACTTGTCATAGGGACATTTATTTTTCCTTGTTTTCTAAATGTACAGACATTATACAAAACAAATAAGGTAGTAGTTAGCACTGTAAGCCACCACCCTGGCTCTGTGTGACTGAAGAGTTTTCATATTTTCTCTGTGTCCACACTGGTTTCCTCTGAATACTCTAAAATGGTATGTAAAATGTGTAGATGGATGAATAAAACAAACATTTTTCGCAATATATTTTTCAAAATATACTTTTCATATTTTTTACTTAAAGAGCACACAAAAATTCATACTCAGACCTGTGTTTTAAAACCTTTTTTATTTTTTTGGTAGGTCTAAAAATAGGTATATCACAATTTAAAGAATGATTAAAAGCTATGACAATTGTTATAACATTCATTTAACAAATTTACATATATTTTGAAGTCTCATTCTAAAATCCACATTTACAGGTATCATACAGTAATGTTGTTGTCAACATTACTGTATGACAAAAATCGAGAAAAAAAAGTAAGCCAACACAGTCATTAATGATATATAGATTTATTAATAGCTAAAACCAGTCAGTTGACTAATTATTTGTTGTAGTTACTGTGTTTTTGTATGTTTTTCTTCTGAAACTTCTTTTTACAAAATCCTTTATCTCAGCAGTATTCAGAGAATACACAATGGGGTTCAACATGGCAGGAATGGCATATGAAAGCGATATATTAATTATCCTTGCATTTCGTTGGATAGAGCCGGCCATTGCACCTATGTAAATGCCCAATATTGGAAAATAATAGGCTGACACTAATATTAGGTGGGAAAAACAGGTCTTTAAGGCTTTTAGACGTCCTTCCCATGATGCAATTTTAAACAGCGCCAACAAAATACATACATAAGATAAGAAAATCAGAAACAATGGTAGAAAAAAATGTAACGTTGTGAATAACATTACCATGATATAGCTCGGCAGGTTATCATTGCAAGCCAGTCTGTATAGAGGCCCGTGGTCACAGAAATAGCTATCAATCACTATGGATTTACAGAAAGACAGCCTAGTAACCAATAGCATTGTAGTCATCACAAACAGAAAATTAAATATGCATCCCACAGTGAGAATAATGCCCATTGATGAGTTTGTGACAATGCTGTGGTATCTCAGTGGGAAGCAAATTGCTACAAACCTGTCATATGCCAGAACAGTAAGCATGACAGACTGCACTGAACTAAAAAAATATATAAAAAACATGTTAGACACACAGGCCTCATACGTTATTTGATGTATATTTAGCAAACAGACATTAATCACATTAGGAAAAACAGCAGTACTCTCACCCAAGTCAGCTACAGCTAATGTAAAAATAACCATATATTTTGGGGTATGAAGAGAACGATCTACATAAATAATGAGTGTGACAAAAGAGTTTCCCAAGACAGTGACCACATAAACCAAACACAAGAATATGAAGTAGTACTGAGCATGAGGTATGTTAGAAAAACCAGTGATGAAAAAATACTGAGGACGCACAAAAGAGTTTGGAGTGGCATTTTGGTTTAATGTGTCGCCCATCTTTTCTCAGGGTTGTTGTTTTCAGCCTTGTTTAACCTGAAAAAGGAAAACATGTTTATCTTCTTAAACTTGCAGGTTGCTTTACAGATAATCCATCCACCTGTGTCCCAGCTGCTTATCCAGTGCAGGGTCACTAGGGGCTTGGAGCCTATCACAGGCAGCTCAGGGCATAAGGCATGGGAGCACTTGGGATGGCCCTCGGTGCATTGCCAGGCACACACATACACAGAATACACATCACTATATACTATGGGCAATTTACAGATATCAAGTATCCTCCTGGAGTGTGGTAGCACACTGGAATAGGCAGAAGAAAATCATGCAACATGGAAATTCTGTGAGGGAATCAAACCAACATGCCACCCCAGCGAAAATTTCTCTGTTTTTTTTTAATGTAAAAACAATATTAACTGTCATAGTCATTATCTCAATTTGTCAATCTGACAGTCTGCTTGTCAAAATTTGCTTGTCAAAATTAATGTGTGATTAATTTCTATAATAATAAAGATTTAAAAATTATAATTAAGTGTTATGTGGCTAAATATCCAATACCTGTAACTACAGCAGACACATACTTCAAGTGCTCAATACTAGAAATACTATCCTGTCCTGGAAAAAAAAGTATTCAAAACAAACATTAACATCAAATTTTATCCATATCAAAGACCATGAGAAATAATTTTTAATATTCAGTGAATTTCTATAATGTATAGGGAAACAATTTGAATTACATTACATTTATGGACAAATTTACTTACCTTTCTGTGCAAATGTTACCTGTGGGGTAGCTACAAAAGAAAATTCTGTTCTAATACGTTCTGTAGTCCCGTCCAAAAAGACAAGGGATCTAGGAAATTGTTCTGCTCTTTATACTGTAGGTCCTCTGACATATAAGTCACCTGACTTTCATCTCTGACCCTTAGAAACCATCAGCTGCTGGTAACAGATGTTAATCTTTTCTTTAAATATGTATTTGTTACCATTTGTTTTGGAATTGATACTATTTTCTTGCAGGAGAGTTACACAAATATTTACTTTGTGGCTTAGTTACATTTATTTTCACTAAAGTTTACAGAATGTTTAATGTCCATGTCAGCTAACAGTTTTTGTAGTGATAAAATGATTAACTCAGATGGCTGACAGAATGTAATGTTTCATAAAATGATTTGTCTTTTTTAATGTTTGCTAGTGAGTATTGAAATGCCTGACAAAATATAATGACTGTATTAGTTTTTGAGAAGTTGCGTATTGGTGGAGAGACATAATACAGGACTTCCTGAGATCATCATTGTACAGTATTGTTTACTCTATATTAAGTGATAGACAATATCATCTTTCATTAATTAAAAATAATAATGTAACATACAGCAATATGTGGTTCACGTAATATTCAGTATGTAATTAATTTAACGCATTATATGTAACTGATGAAATGGAATAATCATTTAGCAGGGTGAGGAATTAGAGTTTACATGTATAAAATTGTAGAATTCAGTCATATTATTAATGAAATCAGCATTTTCCTCTGAAGTTAATTGATGTCTTACATGACAAACAAAGAGGAATGGAAGCACATATTCAGTGAAAATTAAGCTCATTA